TTTCTTGCTTATTTTGGAAAAATACTTGGAAGGTTAACAAGTATAAGTTTCTTGAGGGTCAAACAATACGCTGGATACATTGCGCAACAGCACATCCCCAAGCGTTTGCGCGTTCATGCGAGGATGCAAGAAAAAAAGTAGCGACGCACCTCGCATCGATCTTGATCTACGTGTGGGCGGATCGAGCGGAGCCGTCGCGCGGCGGGCGAGAAATCGGCGCCCACGCTGATTGAGAGTACATATATCTCTTCGGTTCGAAGTCTGTTCTCTTAAGAGTAAGGAGGGAAGGGAGGGACATACGTGCGCGAGTAAAGGGCAGGAGAGAAATACTCGTTTTAATTCGAGAGAGAGAGAGAGAGAGAGAGAGAGAGAGAGAGAGAGAGAGCTTTGCCGTACTATATCCCCATGGCATTGACACCGTCGAGCATAATACGTACGACATTAGATGGGAGACTTCAATTATCTATTTAATAGTGTTTCAAAAATCGTTCCGCTTGCAATGTGCTCTTAGTCCAATTAATATCTGGATCGAAATCAAATAACGGGAATAATACGCAGAACTGCAATCAATATCATATCAAGAAATAAATTAATTATTAAAAAAACAGAATTGCACAACGTATCGGATTATCATATTATCTGGAAATAAGAAATTATTTGTAACTGTTTATTTGCATTTTTTAAAATAAAGTAGAACATTACCATTGATATCATTTTCCTGCAGTTAACTGTCTCCTGACAATTTTATAATATTGTGTCGCAGTGCAGTTTGGTAATAAATTTCAGTAAAATTAGAATATACAATATATATACATATAACTTCTACTATAAATTTATTTTAATTGTGTGATCCTGCATTACCGTGTTTATTCTTAAAAATTGATAGACCGCAAGGCTAATAAATTTCCGGCATCAGCAAAAATATAATCTTGTCCTCTGTCAGATTTATGATATCGGGCTCGTTGCACACGTATATAGCGTATGCGGAAACCGCGGCCAAGTGCATCGGGCGATCGTTCATCCTGCGGGAAACACGTGGAAAGAGAGAAAGAGGTCGTCGTGGATTGTGCATCGTTGCCGTGACGGCGTGTGTCCCGTAAATGCATAACATTTACGTCTCCATACCGGCTGGAACATCGGGTTTTACGTAAGCGCGCGACGCATGGTTTTGCTCGTTCGATACCGAGGTGCGGTGCGCATGCAACACGATGCAAAATACCGCCGCGCGCCGTCTCACCGCCGATTTAACACGACCCCGGTAACGTATCGCGGGGATAACTACATGCAATTCCAACGACACGCGTGATGGCACGCACCCGCGTGTGCAATGTGCAGTCGATTCTAATCTCGGATTGCGCCGCGCCGTTCATTATCGCGCTTTATCGCGCGACCCTGCAAGAGTCCGTCCTATATCGAGCTCGTATTATTCCTCGCTCCTCGTTATTGTTCGCTCTCGCGAAGCGTATCACGGATTCTTCAGATATCGAAGATCGCAATGGCGTGAGCGATAGCTGTTTTATATAATATTGAAAGAAGAAAATGGAAATGATATGTTAATTTAATTGATTGAGAGAGAAATGCGAAAAACGAAAGAGAGAAGAAGAAAGAGTATGAAAAACTTTTGATATATAAAATAAAGTTTATTTTAATTTTGATTTAGTTATTTAATTATAATTTAATTTTGTCAGTATCATTTATATGCGTAAATTAGAAAAATCAGAAATTTGAGGAAAGATGTTAAAATTTTCTTTTTAATCATGTAAAGGTAAATTTAGATTATTTATTGAAACAGATAAAATTTTTATATATGTATACCAAATGACGCAACTCTAGTTTCTCCGCATTTGTGACAAATTGCACGGAGGTTCCATTATTAGCGCTAGCGCGAATTAATTTTGCGGACGAGAGCAGGAAGGAAGGCGTAATTCAACGGTGGCTTTCTACCGCGGCGGTAATTTACCCTGGAATTGAAACAATTAAACTCATTTTTCCTTGGAATAATGCAGATTATTGTGCGAGCACACGTGATGGTACAGCTGTTACACACAAAATTCACCGGAGGTTGAAAGTGAAAATACCGTGGCGATTACGCAACCACCATAATTGAATATTCGTTTTATGCAAACAATTTTTCTCATCATTCGTTTATGCTCTCTTTTCTTATTTCGAATTCTATATTGGACGAAGAAATAGATTACACGTGTATGTAGACATTTTTTAAACTTCTGCTTATTTTGATGAAAAATTATAATAGAAACTTTTTACGAAAACGGAGCAGTAGAGAGTGTAGTATCTATCTTTTACGGCGTAACAGTCGCATCCACCGACTTTCTTGGTAAACAACCTTGACACAAAAATCACGCAAGGTTAATACATCTTCCATTTCGACCAATAACAGTATAACGAAGAACGACCAAGTGCGAGGAATCTATTACCGCACGACCGCAACAATAGGTGACGCAATGGTTGTGCCTCAATTTCTCCGGCCGAACACGACCGTTCCTCTCGATTAGCACTGACTGCGATAGTTAATCGCGCGTGTCGGCAGCCGGAAATCCTGACAAATCATACCGAAAAGGAGCGAGACGGTTTGCTCGTCCCACGTATAAAACGAATTACGGACGAGCGTGTCACGAAAGAGAGCGCGAGCATGCGTACACGCAAGTGCGTCGACGAGAGCGGAGAACGAAGCCGCGAAGCGACAGAGGAAACAGAGGATTTGTCACGAAGCCAGTTTGGTTTAACTGATCTCATCCGTCTTGGTCGCGAGCGATGCGACGCGTCGGTCGCCCAACCGATTGTCTTCGCTCTCGTTGTCGTCGCGACGACGTTGACAGCTGGTCGACTTCATTGCGCGCGTCACTCGAGCTCCGCTTCGTCGCGACGTGTCGAGCCCCGCCAAAGAGATTGAATTGTCCCGATGGCCCTGACAGGCCAACGACCACTCGTAATTTCGACGAGCGTTATAATCTAAACTGCTAAACTATAAGCAAGAAATTGAAAAAAATTACGGAGCTTTCTCCCTATTTTGAATATTTTCGTGCTTCATCTCATGCAGATTAAAAGAAGATATTTACATACCTATAAGACGAAGATATTTTCTATAAAACGAATGCTCTTCTATATTATTTTTATATTGTTGTATAAAGTATTTTTTGGGAGGAATATGAACTATTTAACGGATTTATAAACATTGTAAAATCTTTTTAAAATTCCATGGCAAATCTTTTTAAATTTGTCATTCCATGGCAAATTATATGAATTCGGGTCGTGCCGGAACCGCACAGCTACAACGTGTCGCGTGTGAGAGCGAGGTGATGATCGAATAATGTGTGCCATTACTGACATTTTCAAACGTTAAGACGGCTTTCTGCATCCCACGCGACTTCATGAAGTCTCGTGCTCATTACGTCACATGGGCTTTACCCCATTGATAATCCTTCCTTGGCAGTTTGGCATAGCGTGATGGATGTGGATATCGAATTAGATGAATATTTACGACAGTGGGGGAACACATTTTTCATACAACTATTCCAATAAGCTGTAGCTTTTTAGGACGATTGGATGAAAAATGGATTTGTTCATAAATAAATAAAATGAAATTGGAGCATCGATACGAGACTAGGTATAATTAAAAAAATTTGCAAATTTATGCGAAGGTAATTCTTGCAGGAAGTTGAGAGTCCCTTGTATGACGACACGATCGAGGAGAGAGGAGGGAGGGGGACCAACATAAATGACGCGGCCCTCCGTTGTGGTGTACTCTGATAAAACATAAGTACACGAGGCTTCCACTCTCTCCGCGTCTCTCGCTGCTCGTCTACGCTAAGCGGTTATTTGCTGCGTTGTTATTATACCGGCGCTGGGGCATGCGTACATTAGTTGTTCATAGTGCTTTATGTGCCACGCCGGTCACGTTAATCGAGCTCTTAAACGCGCGCTTTTCCGCACGAGCGATTTAGCCCTTCTCTTTTAGCGCTTCTTACGCGCGACACGCGAAAGCGCGGCGTCACCGACGGCTCGATATTAAATTTTATGGGAAGGATAAAAATTTCACCTCCGTGGTCGTAAAACGCTTTTACTGCGTGTCACCGCCGACTACTCGGACAAAACGTACGCGTCGCAATAAGAACGAATTTACGCGCCAAGTATCGAAGGCGCGTCGAATAAATTCCAATAATCGCAGGGCGTTACCTCTGTCGGACAGTCGGAGTTTTTGGTGAATCGCGAAATTTGATGACGTCGCTTTTAACTCTTTCGCCGAATGTACGCTGCACGTATGTACGAGTGCGTGTGAAATTATTCGAATCGAAGTTGCAGCAATGGTTAAGCAGGACGGCGAGGAATGGTTTTGCCGCCGAGTGCCTTCCTCCTTGGTAGCGTTTATACCGAGAGAGAGAGAGAGAGAGAGAGAGAGAGAGAGAGAGAGAGAGAGAGAGAGAGAGAGAAAGAGAGAGAGAGCCACCAATATTCTCCCTTTCTTAAAAGTACTCCTGGAATACGAGACGTTTTGCGTTCCCCCTAGCTCTTCCCTCTCTTTCGTCTCGCCTCCTTGGCCTTTTATCTCCGTCTTCTTCGTCGGGTCCTACACGAAAGTTCAATTTGCACGGTATGTCAAAGGTTCCCTTCGAACTCGCTGGACTCTCTTTCTTCGTGGTTTCGAGATGCATTCTAATTGCAATGAGGTTTCGATAAGCGAGATTTCGCGTTCGTTTAGTCGTTCGTGAATCGCATAAAAAGTCTTGAAGTTTTTCATTAAGACTTGTTATATCAAACGCAATATTAGCGGGGAGGGTCTTTAAATAAAGCTCCAATCATTTATGCAGTATTTACCGATATCATTCTCAAATTGATATATTTACACATATTATACGTATATGTATATTCATTATATAGTATGTTATATTGTGTGCATATATTACATTTATCATATTGTACCCGCTATTTAATATTTTATTATTGCATACATAAAATAACTGAGATTCTTGTTGCTGTTACAGGTTTCGTGTCGTGTTCACCGAGCCCTTGCAAAAACGGAGGACTTTGCGTGTCGTCGCCGCGCGATGAGTCACATTGCAAGTAAGTAACCAGCTCTATCACTTCTATTATTATAATTATTATAATTACGAATCGTTTCTGCTCCTCTTAGCTTGTATACATATCGTTTGGCATGCGTGTCATGTAATTGCGCGTGAAACGATTGCTTCGATCGGAGATGATCAAGTTTTTTAAGATATATTCGTACTACACACACATATAAACATATCATACACACATGTGTACACAGGCACCGGCATATGACAGTAACGTTTGTATTATTGCGTAAACGAATTCTTTTATTTTGATTGATTTCTTTACGTTCTATACATTTTGGTCAATCGCTATAAGTAACCACTTTTGGATATTGAATTAATAGGTATGCAGACTATATTAAAAAATTACATATATTTCGTAATAATAACTACAATAATGGTATAGAAAAAATTAGAATTGGATATTGAAATATGCAAGTTAGAAAGAACCATTTGATATTGAATTTTTCCGAAAATGCACGCAGTAGAGAAATTAAAGAAAGTTAAAGGAAAAAAAATCTTAATATTATTCACATTTATTCGTTGATGTGAGATTCATTTTCTTTCAATCAATCGTATTTATACAACGAATCGATTCGTTCGTCGGTGCTCGCGTAGTAAACTAAAACGCACCTTTACACGCCGAGTTGGCGATCGACGACCGGGTACCGGGTCCAAGAAGGGGGGGATAAAGAGAGATACCAAGGGGGGCTCGAGGGGTATGACGGGGCGAGAGGAAAAGACAAGGAGGAGGCGAGAGAACCGGACGTTTCGCCGCCTCCCACGCGAAAAGGATGAGAAACCGTGAAAAAGAAGAGGAAAGAGGAAAGAGGATGAAGAGAAGAAAGGCACGGAGAACTGGAAGTCGCAACTTCCACGACGCGCAATCACGCAAACTCCGGAAAAGTTAGCGTTAGAAAATCGTGGCGTCCTTTTAAAATATTCTAATCTTCTACAAGGTTAATTTTTTTTTAGTTTTTACCAGATAGTGGCATGTGATGATAGAATTGTTTTATATACTGATTTTGTCTGTTCCGATAAAAACAAATAAGTACAATAGAAGAGATGTTTACAGATATTTAAAGAAGAATTCATCGAGTCTGTTAAGAAATTAAACTTTAAATTTTTTTAAATGCATTTTCATACAATACTATATCAAAAGATATATAGTTTTACTATCAAGACATATACTCTGTTTAATTAGATATAATAATATAATTTATAATTATATAATTTTAAATTACTTTCTTCTGCATAAATTAGCATTTTATTAGCTAATTATATCATCGACGTACATTTATTGCCCTTGGCAGTAAAGTCGCTCGTCGTCGTCTAGGGATGCAAACATTACGATCCAAATCGCACAACCGACAACATCTATCTGTTTCACAATTCTCAGAATGGTCGACGTAGCATAACTTTAATGCGCGCTGAGGACTGTCATAAAACGTTCATCGGTATAATAAAATATCGTTGTTTCGTGAGCGAATCTTCTAGCTGTCTAGCTAGACTTTTTCGACTTCGTGCCACGTACGCGCTTACGCACGCGTGGAACTATTTACTCGCGCGCACGCGCGTAGCTAAGGAATCTACTTGTGTTATCTCTTACTCGATCAGTATTGGTCGTCTATACTCATCGTAAAATATCGCGTTCGTAGAATACCTGAACTACCAATTCTTTTATAAGTAATTTATTGTAAAATAATATTTATTTTTAATTTTTTATTTGGATTACATATAAATAATGATTCAGTTATTACACACGTGAACTTTACGTATTTTTAAAGAAATTTTTAGAAATCTTGATTAAAACGTTGTTATGATCATTTTATTTATTTCTACAACTTATATAATTTATTTTTTTTTACGTTTATAATAAAAAATAAAATTTTAATCAACGGAGCAGTATTTTTTATTGAATTTTTTCGGTTGTCTTAAAAATTCAAACAAGAGTATCGTCTGATCTTTGCTAATATACAGTAGTTGCATGTAAATGACCGATGCTGATCTTGATTAGCGTTCGCATTTTGTCTCTTTGTGACAAACTGGCTTGTTGCTTTCCATCGTTGCACTCTCACGCCAGATCGAAACGATCGACGTCTACTACGTGAGCGCCGAAGGGCTCACGGTCGTCATGGATAATTGGAAAATTAGCATGCCGCTTCTCCGTCGATCGCCCTCTCAAAATACGGGATAATGAACGTGGTGAGCATGATTTCTGATCAATACTTTAGTGTCCAACACGGGGAATCTGTGCGAATGGACGGTCGCTGTCAAGCGCTACCATTTAAAGTGCAAAAAAAAAATATATACATATATAATACAAATTTATATCAACATTATATTATATATATTGTATTTGCGTTTAGGATTTAGTAATTCAGTAATATATTTCTTGTCAACTTCCATCAACCTTTAAAGGTATGAATATTATTAAATTTTATCAATTTATTTTAAATAATTTGTAAATGATATTGATATGTAATTGACAGATTACAAATAATTCAGTCATTGAAGTTCTCTAGTGTTAAACATTTAGCATTAAATATATTTTAATTACACAATATTATTAATTAAGAATAAATTAAAGTTAGATAAAAAATTATGTATTATTACAATTGACTAAAATATTTCTGTTATAATAAAATATTCATATAATTATTATTTTACATTAATTATCATAATTTATATGTTCATTTAATTTCAAAAACATTTAAAATTATAGAAATAAAATTTAATAATTTCCGATACACACAAGAAGTATAAATAAATCGAATTTATTTTTTATCTATTTTATTATTAACCATTTACATCGCTGTCTTTACAATCTATTAAATTATTTAATTTTATTAAATATGATATTTATATTATATTATTTTATTTTTTTATTAATTTTTATTTTTATTATTTTATATTTTATTATATAAATATGTATATAAGTACTTTATTATTATTTAATTGTCATATTATTAATAATAATAATTAATATGTAATATTTAAATTTTTTATTTTAATACGACGAGCGTAATGTCGTCATGCAAGAAATTGCAGACAGTTGCTTGGTCGTTTGCTCGCTTGACGAATCGAGTTCTGCACGCTTTGACAGAAATGCGCGCAGGTTTGCAATAATGACATCTTCAGTTTCACGCATTGTGCGTAAATTCACGTGGCAGAAATTTCGTTTACGTTTGTTATGACGTTGTCGTTCGAACGAGGTTCGCTCGAGCATTTTCTTCGCACAGAAATCAATGTGTCTACAATTGCAATCTGCCACGATTTGATCGCGCGCAAAATGACGCTTAGACTCGCATCGACGGAACGTAATACCAACAGAATGGCGTGGGACGATACGGAACGGGATGAAACGAGATGGGTCGGGATCCGGTAATAGCGGTAATAGTCGGCAGTCGTGACCCGGCGACGCATCTAAATTACCTTTATCTCTCTCCCGGTCGTCGTAGGTTTCACTTTTGTATCAGTCAGCTCGACGCCTCCGTGATCCCTTGATACTTGACGGTGGTTCCCTTGTTTCACGTACACACACATACATATACAGTCGGACTTTCTGTAAACAGTGGCGCGAACTCGAGAACATTTATCATTATTCTGAGACTTAGACGTTGTTCTTCAGATGCTTTAAATAAGAAATAAAAACTCGTAAAACATTTTTTTCTTTTGCGATAGCAATCATTATCGACTCCTTTTTTTTTTTAGAAAAATAATGTGAAAATTTTCATGCACTTTAATTAATTTTATGTAGGTACAAAAAATTATTAGTTTATATTTTTTGTTTTGAATATTATTATCTATATATTTTATATTTTTTATATATTATCATCTTATATATTCATCCATCATGACTTAAAGAATTACTTCATTATTGAATTTATTGCATCTTATTGTTAAAATTATCGTTTTGAAATTGTTCACCTGACGTTCTTACATTATTCAGCTCTTGTCTGCAGTGTATTTAAACATGACGCGGAATCATACCCGATTTTTGCAGCTGCATATAGTTTTGTTTATTGTCGTTAACCATCTAGTGTAATTGAAACATTCGAATTTTCTTACGATATCACTGGTAACAATAATTATGATTTGCATTCTCGAGCTGGACGGAAAGCAGTCAAGTTGCTCTTTCCGCAATTTGTCATCAACAGACTGCTTAAATTTTATATGATTTATATCTATTATATTTTGCGTAAATAAATTGCACGAAGTTCACAAATAACTGATACATATTCCATTTTTCTTTTATATCTATATATAACATTTTCCACTTCACTCTTTTTATGACTTGTAACTGACTTGATCGAGACATTTTAATCCAGATAAAGTCGATTCTAAATTATCCGAAAAATTAGTTATTAATAGATTAATTGCTCGAGACTTTTTTTGAGACGTTTGTATAATGCGCCGCAGAGGTCATCAATAAAGCTTTGCACGGCATGCGTACAATTACATGCGCATACGAGCGTGACGACACGTACGATCGCATATCGACGTACCATCTATACGCATTTGGAAAAAGAATGCACCATGTACCGCAATATTTCTTGAACTCGTTACAGATGCGGGTCCGCATGTGCCGCGGCTATCTCATTTCGCGTAATCTAAGATACGGAGGCGCACGCGGCGCGGTGACGTGCCGTACTACTGCAACGCTCGCGGTATCAAAATTAATTGCAACCCTCGGATTAATACCGTTATGCCCCGGCGACCTTCGTGTCCAGAGCCTGAACAGATTTCGCGCTCCACGATCTCGGTTATATTTTGTACTCTTGTTTCATCCGATCCTCGTTGTGGCATTTGATCTCGCGTGGCGTTAACACGAGTGCAATTTGTGCGAGCGCGCGATAAATGTTATTACGACAGAACCGTTCTGTCTAATCATTCCCGTACGCAGAAATAATTGTAAGAAATTTTAGAGATGTTTGGTCTTTTTCACGCCGCGATTTTCTATTATCGTCGCCACGAAGTTTGTTTCACTACTTAAATAGAAAACCG